AAGATACTTAAACTCCTCTCAGGTCTGAATACCTGTTTCCATATCCTTTGAAAGGGAATAATACTGACTTCTTATTGTCCGAGTTATTCTAAATCTAGAGAATAGAGGTAATGTAAGAACCTTGCGCATTGTAGGCAATCACTAATTAGTGGTTATTATTATTATTTATATTTATTTTATGCCTTTCCAGAGAGAAAATTAAGACCAAAGAATGGAAGTTCCAGAAAAACAGAGTCCGGCTGTACTGAACAGTTGGGTTATTCAATGTGAAATAGATTGCCTGCATTCTTCACCCTTCAAAGTATTAACATGAAGGAAAGAAGTCGACCTGTCATGAACACCTAGGAAAATTTGGGAGAATTTAGTAGTGTTGAACTAGATAATCTCAATTATAAAGTCCTTATTGTGATTCTAGTTCTTTTCATTTACCTCCAAAAGAAAACCCATTTCTCTCTTCAGAAAGAGCATAGGGCACTTAATAGACACACAAATGCCAAAAGAAACCACTGTCCTCCCCACCACCACCCCACCACCTGTAAACATAGGAGTTCTTCATTAGGAAAAGCAATAAGACAGAGACATTTGGGGAGAATAATTAAACATCTCTCCCAAATATTTCTACTTCCGTCTAGTAGTCTCCAAATCCTCTCTGTTTGGGTTCTCCAAAACCCACTGTTCGGGTTCTAACTCAGTGATTTTGGAAGCATAAGAAAACCACATCTTGGATTTCCAGAACACTTTGCGGGATAAAGGGCTTGTTCCAAACGGAGTAGCAAACTTGTTCTGGTGGTTAATCTCACTTGGTTACCCATGGACAGTGGAGAGAAGCAGAAGATGATATCTCCATACTATAGCTGTATGCACTGAGGACGTAAAGCTCTGACTACTTTGGGGTGACTGAACCAGACGGAACCTTCTTGAGGGAAGGTCATCTTCAAAGCTGTGCTGGGAATGCTGGTCACACTGGTCTCTTGCATGTAGGTGAGTCAACACAATTTAGAACTCAACACCATTGGGAGCTGGCCCATTTTTACTTATGCCAGATGAGTTCAACTCAAGACACCTTTTCAAGGTTCACTGTATCCAAATCTGTCCATTTAAATTCATAATCCTTTACACAGCGCCATGTCTGGGACTACATTGTATTTTGAACTTTCAAAGAAGGAAGTGTAGGAAGATCAACTGGAATTGGGCAAAATAATAAATCATCTGATTTAACATTTTAACAGGCTTCAGAACAAACAATTAAGGGAACACTTTAGGTTCTTTGAATAACTAAAATGAATTAGAGACAGAAAATGTAAAAAGGAGAGAAACTCTCTTTCAGGTAGTTTCATTAGAAAATCTAAATTTATGTGGGGAAAATTAAGATTTTTTTTTACTACCTCTGCATAAGAGTTTTACTCTTGTAGCTGCTTTCGTGATTAATAGCTTTTCAAAAATAGGCTTTTTAGTTTAGAATTCTAGGTAATAATTTTCCATTTAAGATTTTCCAGACATTTTGCACAGTTTTTGGTAGAGGGTAGTCAAGATAAAGAGAAGCATGCAAAAAAAATTAGCCTTTGCCTTCAGTAATCCATGGAGCGTGCTGAAAGGCACAAAGGTTTGTGCAAACTCTGCCTCGTGAGCGAGAACTTCTGTTTGAAGATTTTAATTAAAAGTTCGCAAGTTTGCAAAATGCTTACTTTGCATTCACAGTTGACTTATCAGAAAAGTTTAGGCTGCCAGTCAAGACTTTCTACAACCCTCAAGAGAATGTTGTGGGCAAAGAGAGAAGACTTTAGAGCAAGATGGCTTTGGACTGAGGCCTCCTTTATTCTCCTATCCCAGATCCACCGTCCACTAGCTGTGCAGCTTTGGGCAAGTCACTCCACCTCCCTGAACTTCCATTCATTTCTCTGTGAAGCATCATCCATCTGCAAGGCTGCTGTCATGTCTAGAGGTCTCTGTGCTGTACCAGGCACAGTCTGCAGAGGTGAATGGCAGTTGTTCTTGCAGTCATCAAACCCTTGCTCCCCTGGAACGGGGCAGTGGATCTTGGAGCCTCTCTCCTCTCTCTCTCAGTCTCATAGGTCTGTCTCCTTCCAACCTCTACTTGTAGACTTGAGCAGATGGAATTGAAAACTGAAGCCTTCAGATGTGTGTGCCCGCATGTGTGTGTGTTTAAATGACCCCGGTCCTCACACAGTTATGGTCACTCCCCATTTTTTACATTGATTTTATACTTGGGCGTAGCCCCCTCCAAACTTGCCTCTCTCTTTAATGAGCCAGAAAACTTATTTTCTAAGGATTTGGTGGTGACTCCTTTCATGGCTCTGATTCATTTGGCTTAAAGCAAATTAAAAAGAGCAGAAAATATAGAAAAACTCATGAACTACTGCTCTGCATTCTATTCATCATATGTTTGTCTTCCAAGAATCACCTCGTACTCACCAATTTTTGATGCTGCTGTTCATGTAATGGGGTTTTTCTTTTTTTCTTTTTTTTTTTTTTTTTTTGAGACAAGAGTCTCACTCTGTTGTCCTGGGAGTGCTGTGGCATCATGGCTCACAGCAACCTCAAACTCAAACTCTTGAGTTCAAGAGATCCTCTTGCCTCAGCCTCCAAAGTAGCTGGGACTATAGTTGCTTTCCACACCACCTGGCTATTTTTGTTAGAAATGGGGTCTCACTGTTGCTCAGGCTGGTCTCAAACTGACCTCAAGCAATCCTTCTGCCTCGGGCTCCCATAGGGTGTTCTTATAAGACTAAGAACAAGGCAAATCAAGAAACCAGAAAATGCAAAGCTATGCTCGTCGGAGCCTAGCCCACCTCATGTTTAATGCAGTCTTGTTTCTGGCATAAATGTACAACCAGGGCTAACTGAAGTGCAATATATTCTATCAATATACATGAAAGCAAAACCTCCAAGCACTCTGCATACAGGTGGGAAAAAGATAGAACTGGCTGACTTCGAAATGGTTTCATTTTTCATTTCAACGGGGCAGGTGCACATCTTTTCCATTGCATTCTCCTTCTGTTCTGACTACTCCAGTCGTATCTAATCCAGCTGGAATATTGGGATGTCTTGAAATTGGGAAGGATAATTTCTGCTGCTGACAGCGATATGTGTTACTAGGTCTGCATTTTAAGGGTGTTAACATTCATGTGCCAGGTACTTTCCATAGACTATCTCTTTTAGCGATCACAGCAACATTATTTCATTGGTGTTATTTATTGTACCCTGTTTCAGAGATGAGAAAACTGAGGCTCAGAGATGTGGAAAGAAAGTCAGGTTTAAACCCAGGTTTGTCTGATTCCAACTGCCCTGTCACCTTCTCCATCACATCACACCTACTTTCTGCTTTTAGGGATCTGGATTGTGCTTAAAAAAAAAAAAATCAGGTGAAAATTTAATAGAATTTTGGCATCCAATTATTTTTTGTTCCATAAATAAAATTTTGAATCACTGCAAACTGGTTTAGACTTAAAATATGTAGCAAGACAAGCTGAAGGATGAAGCTTCTTTGTTCCCTTGTGCTCAGTGGGGAAGCAAAAGTCTGCCTTCATCTCCATTCTAATTATCTAAAACCTCTTATCTGTAGTGTCACAGTTCATAATAATTAATTGTCATGCCAGAGGCAGTGTGACATGCTTGATGGAGTCATGGTGTGCTATGTACACAGAGTAATTAGCAATCATTAGTGGAGGGACGGAAAGTTCCTGGTGGTTTCATTCAAACTTTCATTTGGTTAAGTTTATCTCTGTGTTCTTTGTGCATAAATGTAGCTTAACAAATCAGGTTTTATCTTAACTGTTTTATGAAGGATTGGAGTGGCAGTGAAGGGAAGAGAATGGTGTTCTTTTTTCTTTTATCTTTATCTTTGTAATGAATTTCTCTGCTAATAATTTGCATATATACTTCCTGGCCATTTGTTAGCATCATTACCTTTATATAGAAAGGATGTTAAATATTACTAAATCCAATTACAAATACAAAATGTCAGTAGTCTGTCAAAGGAGATCAGAGGACACTGTGTCTAGAACTGGAAACTCAGGATTAGGAGTGGAAATTCTGGCTCTTGAGCTGGGCTGCCCACCAGAAAGCCACCAGCCCTGGGATGGATTTTGATGCTTTGTGAAGATTATACTTGCCATCCCCTTCTGCAGCAAAGATGATTGAAATAACCTTGGCGGAGAGGTGCCAGAGAATTATACCAAGACATGTACTTTGTAAATGGAGAAAGGCAAGAACAAGCAGGTCAAGCTTTTGAGGTCTTTCTTACAGAAAAAGAAGGCAGTTGAAAGAATGTAAAACTCACTAAAAATAGGCCTGCATAGCTCAGCCAATCTATACGAACATATGGTTAAGCACAATAAAATTAATTTCCATATTACAGAGAGTCAATATTAATAGCATAAGTTTTTAAAAAAGACAACTGTGGATGTTTTGCAAAGCATCTTGACAGCCCCCTCCAGTCCTTGTGTCCTTACTAAAAAGTGCCTCTCAGCTTGTTGATAGGCAAACCACATCCCTGATAACACGGCCTAACCCCCTAGCCTGAAGAGGGAGAGAAATGTGGTTACCATCCTTGTGTGGAAGCTGCTTTGCCTGGGTACACAGTCAGATGACGCACAGGCATCTTGGGGAGACTGAGTCTTAGAGAGGAACCTTCAGGGAGGAAGGTTCCCATGGTAGCGAGTCACCTCCCAGATGCAGATGTGTCACCGCTGACCAACAGCCGGGAAGGGAAGATGCAGCCCCTGGACCTGTCCACGAGCACCCATTTCCTTATCTTCCCAGCTAGAGTTAGGTTTTAATTCATCTGGGGTCTGAGAAATCCCCAGGTGGCTTCATACACAAGAAAGATCCAGACATGGGGGAAGTCAGACTGCATGATGTCAAAGTAGGTCTGGGCAGGCTGAGGGCCTGGGCTCTGCTGGGGTGCCCCTGCTGAAGGCTTTGACAGAGGAGAGGAGGCAGCAGCTGCTCCTGGGACAAAGGGCAGGTGGGCAGCCTACCTGCGGGAGGATGCCCCCCTTTCAGCGGAGAGAGCAGGTCTTGCACTTCACTTGCCATAGCGCGTGCCACTGCCAGTGCTGGTGCCGGTGCTCTGGAGGCCAAGTGCCAGCTGTGGCTGCCCCACCGCACCCGGCTTTATACGGGCAGGGGGCGGGGCCCCTTAAGGGCATTGCTGAGCAGCAACAGGGCTCGTCCCTCAGCTCTCTGGGAACCTGCGTCTCCTTGGCAAGTTTCCTCTTAGAAGAAAACGTTCTTCTTCTTCCCTTCATTGTGGAAGGCAAGGTAGACATCGAAAGAGGACGTTCTTATTTTCTTCCACAGGCGGAAAGGGAGAGGATGTAGCTGTGTGGAATTCTTTTTCTCTCCAACTCTCCATCCCTCAGGCACTTGTAGGTAACAGGCTTTTCTCATATGATGAGGAGGCAAGCGAGATCTGAGCTTCAAGACATCAGCAGTCTGCAGTCTTTCTGAAGACACAAGTATAGAACAAAGCCTTTGCCCCAGTTTTTGCAATTATAAGCTTTTAGACAAAATAATTGAAGGCATGTATAGAGATTTCTGTGCAAGGATTGGTAATCATTCTTTTCTTTTCTTTTTTAGTATTGATGGGAATCAACATTAACATTTCCAAATACAGAGAGATAGTTCAATGAATTAAAATATAGCCATGAGAGTACTGAGTATACATTACAAATCGTGTTTCAAGTAATATTTAATGATATGAAAATATTAATGATAAGATAGTGAAAACGTAGGCTAGAAACCAATAGGTGATAATTTTGTTAAAAAGTACTAATTGAAGCTTACACATTTTTGTCTCTCCAGTGCCAAAGTTTATTTATTTATTTTTTGAGACAGAGCCTCAAGCTGTTGCCCTGGGTAGAGTGCTGTGGCATCACAGCTCATAGCAACCTCCAACTCCTGGGCTCAAATGTGTCTCCTGCCTCCACCTCCCAAGCAGCTGGGATTACAGGCGCCCGCCACAATGACTGGCTATTTTTTGGTTACGGCCGTCATTGTTGTTTGGCAGGCCCGGGCTGGATTCGAACCCTCCAGCTCAGGTTTACGAGGCTGGCGCCTTAGCCACTTGAGCCACAGGCACCAAGCCTCCAATCAAAGTTTAGTATGTAGCAGATACTTAGAAATATTTCTTTGTAATTCAGTACAATTAAAAACTTGTGTTCTCCAAAAAACACTACTAAGGAAATGAAAACAAGCTACAGACTGGGAGGAAATATTTGTAGAACACATTACTCATGGATAGGGTGACCAGACGTCCCGATTTTGGCGGGACAGTCCCGCTTTTCAACAATTTGTCCCGTGTCCCGGCGTTTTAAAAAAGTCCATATTTTTGGAAAGAATGCATGAACAGGCTGGAGAACAAGAAGGGAATATATGGTTTTTGGCCGCCATATGGCTATTTTGCCAGAATATGAGTTTTATATTATTTTTGTTAATTTTATAATGTTAAACTGTAATAAATAATTGCTGAGAAGTGATTATCCCGAACTGCTTATCAAAGTTTGCCTTGTTGTCAGGCCCTGCCCTGTGCCCCCGCTCCGCCCCCACTCGGCCCCCGGCCATGTTGTCCCGCCTTACAGATGTTAGAATCTGGTAACCCTACTCATGGAGTACCAGCATTTTAGAGCATATAAAAAACTCTTGCAACTAAATAAGACAAAAGAAGACAGACCAATAAAAAAATTGGCAAAAGATTCAATAAAACTTGATAAAGTAAGGATATGGACAACAAATAAGCACATTGAAAAATGCTCAACATCATTAATCATTAGGGAGATGCAAATTAAGGCCACAATAAAATACTGCTACATATGTATTAGACCAACTAAAAAAAATAAAAAAGGAAACTACTGAATGTTGGTGACACTGCAGGGCAACCAGAGCTCTTATTCATTGCTGGTGGGAACACGAAATGGTACACGCAATGCCCAGCTCTATTCATAATTGCCCAAAGTTCAAAACAATCTGGAAGCTCATTATTGTAGAACAGATAATACTGTCTATCCACAGCATGGAGTACAACTCAGCAATAAAAAGGCACCGCACAGATGAATCTCAAAAGCACTGTGCTCAATGAAAGAAGCCAGATTCAAATAGTTACCCTATAGTTCCATGGACATGACATTCTTGAACAGTTGGAACTCTAGGAACAGAAGTCAGATCAACGACTGCTGGAGAGAGGGTGGGAAGAGTGGTTAATTACAAAGGTGAAAGGGGCGAATTTGGGAGAGTGACGGAAATATTTTGTATCTTAATTGTAATGCTGGTTTCATTCATCATCCATCACACATACATCATATTAAAATGCGAATTTTACCATATGCAAAATATATCTCAATAGATCAAAAAATGAATGGAAATATTACCCAATATTGAGCAGCTATCTGTAGGTGGGATTATTTACCTAGTGATTCTTTAAATCTTCTTCTAGTTATTCTGCATTACTTTTTATATCAATAAAAACCAATAGGAGAGTTTTTTGGGGGGGTTAGTGTGCCAATGTGCTGTGATGGAGGTAGGTCGACACTATGGGAGCTAAGAGAAGGGAACATCCATATTATCCAGCAAATATTTTGTGAGCCGCCCTCCCTGCAGGGCCTGGGGTCCAGAGGTGACTGCTTTCAACATATCTCACAGTCTTAAGTAAATGAAAACAATGTAAGAGGATTCCTTCTATGGCTAAAAAGTTTTATTATGGCCTTATACAATAGAATTTCTGTGATGATGGAAGTGTTCTGTCTCTACTCTGAACTACAAGTCACACATTCGTTTAAGTACACAAAGGAGGCTAGTAAACTGATAAACTGAATTTAAAATTTTTTTCTTTTTTGTTTTGCAACCAAGAAGAGTGTCCAGCATTTACCAAAGGTGCCCCCTTTCTCTGAATTTTACTTAAAGCCAAATATTTTGAATTATTATAATCACAAATAGTGGCTCAGCACCCATGGCACAATGGTTATGGTGCCAGCCACATGTACTGAGACTGGTGGGTTTGAGCCAGGCTCGGACTGGCTGAACAACAATGACAACTGTAACAAAAAATGGCTGGGCGTTGTGGTGGGCACCTGTGGTACCAGCTGCTTGGGAGGCTGAGGCAGGAGAATTGCTTGGGCCTGGGAGTTTGAGGTTACTGTGAGCTGTGGTGCCACGGCACTCTGCCAAGGGCAACACAGTGAGACTCTGGCTCAAAAAATATATACACACACACACACACACACACGCAAATAGCTACATGTGGCTTGTGGCTACCATATTGGACAGCACAGGTCTATAGCATAAAAACTAGATGTATGATTGTTTGTAGCCCAGATCTCATTCATTATCTTCTGTATCTGCAAGCTGCAGAAGGCAAGAGAAGTCAAATCAACTGCACCTAATAGAGTCTATGCCTAGGAGAGCCCAAGTGGTGCAGAGGAATGAGGGCTTGGACCAGAATATAATGGATGCCCAGGTTTCCTCCACGCAAATGCTTGTTGATTTAACCACCAAGTAATGTTAAATGGCCTTCCTCTTCACCCCATTCTCATGCAAACCTTTCCATATGTAGATATATGTTGTAAACCTCTACAGGGGGATTTAGTAGGCAATATATTCAGAGCTTTTTTCATTATAGAAACCTTTGTTCTCACAGCCCTGAATAAATACCACTGGAATTTGTGCTCTTGAAATCCAAGTTGGAAAATTCTGACCTGAGGTAATGGGAGCGATGGTGTTCTGGCAAGTGATGGTAGAAGAGATGTGACCAAGGACATATGAAGGACAGAAGTAAAGTAATTAGAACCTCCAGGACATCCCCTGTCTGTTCTACTTCCACAGCCAAAAACGGTGAATGTGAACATTATTCACAGATGCCAATTTATTTGTCCATTACTCCCAAATGGAAAATATCTGAAAGTTTGTAACAAGACTGCAAAAGGGATATATAGACGAGTGGTATAACCTACAAAGATGCGAACAACCAGGCAGTGCCTGTGGCTCAAGGGAGTAGGGCGCTGGCCCCATATGCCGGAGGTGACAGGTTCAAACCCAGCCCTGGCCAGAAAGAAAGAAAGAAAGAAAAATGCATTAAAAAGATGCAAACAACCTGTTTAACTGTAGAAATGAAAGCAGAAGATTGGAGAAAGGGAAATGAGGCTAACTGCTTTGCTTTCTGGGTGGCTTCGTCTGGCACACTGCTCCCCACGCTGCTTCCACAGGGGTAAGTGGTCCACAGTCCCCACTCCGACTCCCTTGGGCACGGTTAGGACTCCGCATGGTGGGGTCTTCCCTTGACCTGTCTTTATATTAGTCATCAAAATCTCAGGGCTGTCGTGCGCGCTCTGAGCTAAGTGGAGCCTGGATTCTTTCCTTTGGGGATGGATTAGAGCTTCCATCAGCATGAAAGTCTCCTCGAAGAAAGACAACATGTTATTACCCTTTAAATGGGCTTATAAAGCTTACTTTTAAAAGGGCATTGGTCTAGTTAACTGCAGTGGGAGAGTAGCTCCTGCTAACACCAAAGTCTTTGGATTGTGCTGCGTAATGCTAAAAGCCTAGTAAACTGGATTCTCACGATGTTGAGGCGGCCAGAGAGCTTTTTCTCTTTTAAATGAAAGGATAATGTAACATGAAAGACATTAATCCTATTTCAAAAACCATAGAGCACTTTCGTGGCAGCACCGTCCTTTCTCCTTCCGATTTGCACGTGGGGAGACACGTCACCCCTGCCACGCACTCGCACGCATTCTGGCAGTGTGCATTTCACTCTTGTGTTTTGCTCTTTTCTCTTATTACTTACATGCTGTATCTAAGGCCGAATTCTGCAAGTGTGAGAAACCCACGTCAGGACTCATGGGCAAGAAGGCTAACCAGGAGGGTGGCAACTCTTATGCGGTGAGGAAGTGCCTTATCTGTAGGTCACTACAAAAGTTTTGAGACAGACTGTGTAATGGTCCATGACTTCACTTCCAAGAAACACAGTCGACAGCGTCCTTTCTGACTCATGCATGCCAAGTTTCAACCTGCTGGGCTTATGAGTGTTGCTGGGAGGGCTCTGTTTCTCTTCATGCAGGTTTTACATTTCTTGATTTTTATGTGTCTTAAAACT